AGCCGCCTCGAGGCGCTCAGCGACGTGCACACCAAAAACCTCGTCCTCCAGGAGCAGGTGGGCCAGCTCAAGGGCCAACTGGAAAAGCAGGGCGAGCTGCTCCGCCAGAAGAACGTCGACCTGGGCGAGATGGCCTTCAACCGGCGGCGCATCGCCGAATGGATCAACATCGTCGGCGCCGACGCGCCCGACATTGTCCTCACTCAGCTGACCGAGCTGAGGCAGGCGCTGGAGCTGCTGCGCGTGGAGAACGAGTCGCTGCGGGCGGAGCTGAAGGACAAGGCCTCCGCAGAGGTCCTGGTGGCCAGCACCTCGCGGGGGGCCGACCTGCAGGTGAGCCAGCTCGGCCAGGAGCTCTCCCAGGTGAAGGGCCACCTGAAGCGACTGAACCGGAAGTGTCTGCTGCTGGAAAAGCAGCGCGACTCCTACAAGAGGGCCCTCGACGCTTATGAGAGCGAACTGACGCTCGACATGAACAGCGCCCAGTGGCGGCGCATTTCGGAGCTGGAGGCGGCGCTGGCCGAGCAGCGTGAACTGCTGGCCACTTATGAGGCCGACCTGAAGGCTGCGGAAGATGTCGCCTCCAAGCTGGCCGCCAAGGAGAAGGAGGTCCACGAGCTGGCTTCGGAGATGGCCCGCATCAAGATGCTCAGTCCGCACGTCTGTAACACCACCGCTTCGCTTGACGTCTCCACACTGCAGACGCGGGAGAAGAACTTTCGCGTCATTCACCTGCGAGAAAATCCGCTCTCGGCGAAGGTCGCCGCCTACAATGAGGAGTTTGCCCGTCTCCAGGCGGAGAACACCCGCCTGAAGTGCCTCGTAGAGGTGCTCGAGTCCGGGGGCGACCTGGCCGACATGACGCGGCAGATCTCCGAGGGCATTCAATGTCGCACCGAGGTGGAGCAGTGGCGGGCGAAGGCGGAGTCGGTGGAGCGGCGGTACAGCGGCCTGAAGGACAGCTTCAAGAAGATCAGCAAATCGTTCCGCGAGACGGTGCTCTACCTGACGGGCTACCGCATTGACGCCCTGGCCAGCGGGCGGTACCGGCTGACGCACGCCTACGACCGCCAGAAGCGGGCGCTCATCTTTGAGGTGAGCAAGTCGAAGGCGATCACCTTATTAGAAGAGGACAGCTCACAGCTCGAAGGTGATCTACGGGAGCTCATTCGCACCTACCTCACCGAGGGCCAGAGCTACCCGGCCTTTTTGGCCGCCTTCTCGCTGGAGCTCTTCAACAGCAGCACCGCCCTGTCCCGGTCGATGCTGTGGACTTGATTTGCATACACTCTTATATTTATACCTTTGTATACCATTTTTTTATACTAAAGAATCACTGATCAGTTATACCAGTAGATTAATAAAACAGAATAGGATGTTTATTTAGTTCAACTGTTGGTAGGTTTTTGTTTCAAGTTGACAACAGTAAAAGCTACCACAGATAACACACAATGAGACAAAGGCGACGCCCCCCAAAACAGAAGTTGTTTTTTGCCAAGTTTATCCGACAGACGCTAGATGGCAGCAGGGGTTCCGCAAAGTTTATTTTTCTGGTTTTCTGAATACGAGAAAAATAAAATTCACGGGCGATTTTTTGACGCCACTTACAAGATGGCGACGATGGTGGCGTTCATAGCGGCCAACATTGGAAACTATTCACTTTTTATGATCAACTCTGTCCATTTTTTTTAAATGGGTGTTTCTTAGGCCTGGAACGTTGCAATGAGCTTGAAGTTACGTTAAATGAAAGCTAAAGACTTGGAGTACAATTTGTATGTAAAATAAATTGATTTTGACAAGTTTTGGTGTAGCAAAAAGGTATTTAAAACTTTAAAACTAGATTTAAAAACAAAAACCTTGTCAAAACCAATTTATTTTACATACAGATTTTGCTTCAAGTCTTTAGCTTTCATTTAAAGCAATTTTGAGTTTTCTAAGACTTTCCAGGGCCAAGAAACGCCCATTTGAAAAATGGACAGAATTGATCATTAAAAGCAGATAGTTTCCGATGTTGTCCGCTATGAACGCCACCATCGTCGCCATCTTGTAAGTGGCGTCAAAAAATCGCCCGTGAATTTTATTTTTCTCGTATTCAGAAAACCAGGAAAATAAACTTTGTGGAACCCCTGGCGCCTACTAGCGTCTGTCGGCAGAACTCAAAAATAAACCCGACGGTCCTGCACTTAAGTACGGTAATTTAGCCCGACTTCAAAATTCAAATAAACCCAGTGATCAAGAACTCATTTTATTTGATTCTTCACGCAAGCAGAATCTATAGCCTTCTGCTTTTGCTTAAAAGTTTGCCAAGTAAAAAAGCTACAACAGATATCATATAAGCTAACCTATTAATTTGGTCCACAAACTAAAATTTGATGAAGAAGCGGGCTAATTATTCAATTGGAAAATAAACAGCTGGTGATCCAATGCAAGGAAAAGGAAAATTGAATTTAGTATGAACACAATAGAAGGCAGGATGGATAGGTGTGTACGCTCAAGCCATTCAAACACCAAAATTATTTATCATCATCTTCAATCGAGCAGCGGCGCCGCCTCGCTCTTCAGCGAGATGAACTGGTTGCACTTGTCCTCCATTTCCTCTGCAGGAGAAAAACAAAGTTTCAGAAACTTTTTTACCTCAAAAATTTCATCTCAGCTCTGCTTACCATCGGAGGCGCCCAGGCACTTGCCCCACTCCTTCAGCGTAATCTTGTGGTCATCGTCGGCGTCGCAGCCGTCAAGAAAGGTTCCAATGCAGCTTTCCATCGAGAGAAGGGGCGCTCGCAGGGGAAACAGCTCATGGCGGGAGACATGTCGATCATGGGGCTCCTGGTCCAGGTCGCAGAACTTCCAGATGATGGCGTCGATCCACCGGTGGGCCATGTGGTCATTGTGCGGTGAAGAGGACTTTCCACGTTCCGCCTGGGACAGCCGCTGGCTGATGATGGCGTCCAGCCACTCGCGCATCCGCCGGGGAAAGTCCTCGAGGACGGCCGCCTGGCACTCGCCGATCTCTTTGCACTCGCCGTAGTAGTTGATGTGCATGTGCTTGTGGTCGGCGGTGCAGTCGTGTGAGACGCCTGAAAAATTTGTTGTTGATAAGTTGATAAGTTGATAGGGATGAAATGATAATGAACAATTACCTTCCAAACAGTCGCACCGGTGCTTCAGCAGGTGACAGTCCGACTGCCAGGTCTGGTTGAAGTTGGAGCACACCCGTCGGCGGGTGTCGGTGTTGTCCGGGCATTCGCTGAACAATGGGAAGTTTTTGATAAGGAGGTTACCTCTTGATAAAGCATTAGCAGGAAGTAAGACTTACCGAATGCAGACGCACTTCGGCTCGCCACTGTCCGGGTCGATGGTGCACTCGTGGCCGGCGGAGGAGCACTTGTGCTTCAGGCAGGGATTTTCCAGTTCTGAGGTAATTTAAGTTGGTGGTGATAATCTAGGTCAGACATCCTTCAGCACTTACCATTATCATTCATTTCTACCTCACCGACAACATCCTAAAAACAGATCAATAGTTTTCTTGCCAAAGTTTTTCTCAAAAAAAAGTGTTCTACAAACCTTTTTAGCAGCCTCCACTGAAACTGTCCTGGAGAGGAGGCAGAGGACCAGCAGCAGGCCACAAATCGCCAGGAGGATACTTCCGCCGTTTCGAGACATTTTCCGTCAGTGAATGTATGTTCTTTGCTTAGCGACTAGCAAGCAAATGCCTGTTAGTGTGCCTGGTTGGTTGGATGCAATGAAAGCGAGAGAGGGAAAAAAGAGGGATCCTTTGATCGACGGCACTGCAGCAGTCACTGACGATAAGGAAGTGCAGCACTGCCGCCACACCGAGACACACCCAACACTGGTAAGCAGAAACCAGAGGCGAAATCAACGAGTACGCAAACTCGGCGAGCACCGTTTGTTTATCTTAGCACCAAAAGCTCGTGCAGCAAACTTTCGACTAGTGCACGGCCTTAGACTTTCACCAGTGCACTGAATTGGTCGCCGGCGGCCACCATCCGCACTTTCTTTCTCTACTTCTCTCTTTCTACCAAAAATAGCGTCCACCAAATTTAGGAGGAGGAGGAGGAGAAGAGTGAAACATTTTGAATGAACATATGGACAAGTGTAAGGAGGGGAAAATGTTGGTGGTGGTTGTGGTGGTCTTCTGCCAGAGAAGACCTACTCGACTGACTCTGCTGCATTTTCTGCATCTGTGTTTATATTTAACCGCAATTCACACAGTCAACAGCAGTAATGTTGGTTGAACACACAACTGACTTTGCTTTGCTTTACTTTCCAATTCATCGTTACTTTGTGTACAGGCAGTCAGGCAGGCAGGCAGACGGGCGAGAGAGTGAACATATCACTACCATCGCCACCATCATCATCATCAAAATCGTGTGCACTTGTCCCCCTCTTTCCTTCCCTTCCTTCTTTTCATGCAGTGGTAACTCTGACTTTATCGACATTTGATATGAAGTGAACGGGGGAGTATGGAAGGAGAAATAAATGAAGGAGACAAATCTCGCTTGTTAGGATGTGTGCAAGTAGAAGGGAAAAGCTGCAAAGTTGAAGTGATTGCCGCCAGTGCTCTCCTCTCCACTCTCTTTCTTCCTTCCTTCCTTGAGCTTCAACAAAAAAAATTAAAATCTTCAGTGTCAGTCTGTCGGTTGGTTGGTTGGTTGGCTGGCTGGCTGGGGGTTAACCCAAATCGGCGAAAGCAGTGAATCAAAGAGAAAGAGAAAGCAGCAGTCAGAACGGCAAGTCTTTGCTCTATCGTGTAAGATGATGAGTTATGATGGTGGTGGTGGTGGTGATGATGGAGAAGAAGAGGAGAACGACTACGACGATGACATTGTTGAGTTTCGGCTTCGGAGCACAGTAGACGACAACAACAGTACGACTATCATCAAAATACATCAACTGAAAGTGTGGGTGTGTGTGGGTGGGTGTGTGTGTGGGTGTGAAGATAATGGAGGAGGGTGCTGTACAGGATAGGGTAGAAATAGCTAAAACTACAAAGGAAAAGGTTAAAACAGATAAAATGCTAGCGAATTAAAGAAGAGGAGTGTGGATGAGAACTATGATTTCTGATCAGAGAACGGTTTCCCCTTTTGGAAAGACTACTACTACTACTACTCGGTTTTAGAGTAAATGTCCACCGCCACCACCACCTGCTCCGGCGGCACTACTCTGACTTCTCGTCACCGCCCCATAGTGAGTCGTCTGCTCTCCATGGCTGGTGGACTGGTGGTGGTGGTGGTGGTGCTGTTGGTTGTGCTGGTTGTGCTGCTGCTGCTGATTGTGCTGACCGCTGTTGTTGTTGTTGTGCTGACCGCTGTTGCTTCCGCCCGCCTGGTTATTGAGGAGGCTGCTGTTGCCGAAGGCGCTGTGGTTGCTGATGATGTGGGTGTTGTCGCGGCCGCCCGGCGTGCTGCCCTGCTGAATGGTGACGTTGATGCCCAGGTTGCCGCCGTCGGAGAAGTGGTGCGCTATGGCGGCGTCAAAGACCAGACAGTCGCTGTTGCTGATGGCGGACTGGACGCCGTCGCTAATGGATCGCGGCTGCGCCTCCCACAGCAGCCGTCGCTTGTGGGCGTTCAGCTCCAGGCGGTAGGTGAACTGGTCGGGGGTCTTCTCCCCTCCGATCAGCACCACCGCCGCGAAGAACTGCTGGTGGCTGGAGTACTTCTCCGCCTTCTCCAGCACCAGCATAAAGTGGTGGTTGAAGCAGGACTGGATCATCACCTGATAAGGTGGGGTGGAAGAGGTTCGATAAGTTTTTATAAAGAAAAAGCAATATAACAGTACTTACCCAGTCAACGGCTCCGCTGAGGTTAATATCCGTCGCGAGGAAGACAATGTCCTCGCCCTCCAGCGTGGTGATGCTCTTGTGGGAGGTCATCAGGTGGCCCATCACCTGGTCCATGGAGCCGGACCACTTGCAGCTGCTTCCTGATAGGGTAAACAAAGTGTAAATAAAAAAGCTCATAAAATCGAACTCATCTTTTCAGTACTACTCACCGGGACAGGGGCAGAGGAAGGGCTTGAAGAGGCACTTCGTTTCCTCGTGCTCCGTCTTCTCCTTGTGGTAGAAGACCTCCAGGCAGCCGTTGCTGCTGTACTTGCAGGGAAAGCGGACCTTGCTGGACAGCTTCTCCAGTATCAGGTTGCGAATGTTGTTCGGCCCGAAGAGCACCCGACAACTGGGGCAGGAGGTGATCATGCCGCGGCAGTTCTTGCAGATCAGATGGCCATTCTCGCACTGAAGGATGGGCGGGAGGACGTACTCGAAGCAGACCGGACACTCGAAGAGCGCCAACAGGATGTCATTGCTGGGGAGGTCCATCTCGGCCTTGGGGGCGGCAATGGCCGCCTGCTGTGCCACAGCTGCGGCCGCCGCTGTGGCCGAGGCAATGGAGGCCTGGCGAGCTCGATTTCGAAGCTGCATCTTCGACTCGCCGCCGCCGTCCCTTGTTCGCGAGAGGTTCGCCTCCGACCGGCTGGACACCTCCATCTTCGAGGGTAGATCGCGGTTGTTGTTGTTGTGGTTGTTGCTCATTGTGGTGGTGGTGGTGGTAGTGTTGGTAGTAGTTGTACTGGTACTTGTGGCTTGGGCGGCTTTGGAGGCGGAGGAAGAGAAGAATGAGCGCAACATGCACACACAATTTTGGGATGATTGAAGTGTGGTAGTGAGTGAGAAGGTGAGTGACAAAGTTGAGGTAGAAATCGAGAGGTGATGGCAAAGGAAGGGGAAGGGATGGTGATAACCGAACCTCAAATCAAAGGTAATGGCTGTGAATCATCCACTACAACAAAACAGAGCACAGACAAACACACAGCTCCAAATCAGCAGTGAGCAGCAGGCTCCTTTAGGCAAGATGCTCACTCTTCTTCTTTTTCTCTGTGTGGTCGCTTCTTCTATCTCACTTTTCCTCTCCTGTGTGTGTTCAGGTCGCAGCAGTCAGACTCAATGCAATCAACATTTATGGAACAGCAGCAGCTGAAGCAGGGGAAGGAAGGAGCAGTAGCAGCTCTCGTCCAAGTGTACAAGGCGTATGAGAGAGTGATATACAATGGCGACTACAGGACAACACAACAACAACGGCGACGACGACGACGAAGTAGCCAGCCAAAAGCCACTCGCTTGGTGATGATGGTGATGGTGATGGTGGTGATGATGATGATGATGGTGATGGCCGTCCACTAGCTCGTTCGCTTGTTGGCTCGCTGGCTCGCTCTCTTCAGCACACAGGACAACACAACAGAGCAGCGCAGTGTAAGTCAGTAGTTGTGCTCGGAGTACACAGAGCAGAACAGCGCTCCTGACTTGTCGTCGACGTTGGCGACGTTGGTGGCAGCGGCGGCGGCCACTCTACAAACGCTGCCTAGACAACGAGCGACGCGCCGTTCATAGACGACGTCGGTGCGGGCGAAATGTGTAAAAACAAAAACGTGTGCGGAGGGTGCGCTTCGAAATGGCAGGGATGAAAAAGTGAGGGAAAATGGAAAAAAACTTTAAAAGCGAAGACTGAAGCCGCCCTTCTTGTTGGATCCGGCGGTGGTAGAGGAGGCCATCATGGTAAAACCACCACCACCACCACCACCTTCTTCAGCTTCTGCTGCTGCTGAAAAACTGTGACCAGCCATCTGCATCATCATCAGCTTCGCCTCCTCGTCGGCCTCCAAACTGCCGGCAAACTGCTTTCCACCGCTGGGCGGCTTCGGGCTGGCCTTTCGCTTCTCTCCTGAAGCAGTTCCCGATGATGATGCGGCTGTTCCCGCCAAGTTACCACCACCAGTGGAGCCCTCCGACTTGGCCGGCCACGTCGGGAACATGGACGGGTCAACTGGCTTCGGCGACTCCCTGAAGAACTCGTGATTGAGCGCTTCCGCCGCGGTGATCCGCCTCTCGGGACAGTAGGTCAGAAAGCGGTTGATCAGATCGAAACCCGACTTGCCCAGCCGCCGGCCGAAGCGGTTGTGGAGGTTGTTGTAGGGGTGCTCGGCAAAGGCGACCTTCTTCGGCAGCGGCAGGTCGCTGTAGCCGGGCCAGATCTTGTCGTTCGGAGTGCCCAGCTCCTTGAAGAGGAGGTTGATCTGGTCAATCTCCGACTTGCCGGGAAAGAGCGCCTTCATGGTGATGAACTCGCCGAAGATGCAGCCCACCGACCAGTTGTCGATGGGCGCCGAGTAGAGCTTCGTCTGGAGCAGGAGCTCCGGAGCGCGGTACCAGAGGGTGACGACGATGGGCGTGTACTCCTTGAGAGGGGAGCCAAACTCACGGGCCAGGCCAAAGTCGCCCACCTAGAAGAGGGTTGAACAGACCAAGTTCAGTAAAGAATCAAAGAAGTAGAAAGCTATACACTTACCTTGAGTATTCCCTGGTGATTGAGCATAATGTTTGAAGTTTTCAAGTCCCGGTGGAGGATGTACTGGTCGTGGAGGTAGGCCACCGCTCGCAGCAGCTGCAGCAGCAGCGTCTTCACCTCGCCAAGAAGGAAAGGCTGTCGCATCGACTCCATCAACGCCTTCAGGTCGTGCGCCGCCCACTCCATCGACACGTAGATCTTGTCCATGTTGGAGCCGACGACGATCTCCCGCAAGGAAATTACATTTTCGTGCCTCGCCTTTAGAAGCGTGCTGATCTCACGAAGCGAGGTGATGGGAAAGCCCTCCTTCTCCTTCTCCATCTTCAGCCGCTTTAGGGCGACGGTCTCGCCGGTGCGCTTGTCCTTGGCTCGGTAGACGATGCCATATGTTCCTGGAAATAGAAACTCAATGTTAAAGCCGGCGATGAATGAGACTTCAATAATGCAATAAACGATCGGTTACTTACCTTCCTCAACTCGATTGATGCACTGGAACTCATCCACACTGCGACAGCCCTGGATGGCCGGGTAGTAGGGTGGCAGCGAGTCAATGTCCTCCTCTTCTCCTTCATCATTTTCGCCGCAGGTTTTCTCCGTCTTTGTCGTCTTCGGCGGCGGCGTCGGTGCATCACCTTCTTCCCTCCTTCTCTTCCTCTCCATCATTGCATCTGACAGTTCTATCTGTCTTCGCCACACACTACAGCCGAGGGTGATGACTTCTCTTTAGATGTCTGAAGATATGCTGTCGCCGTCTTCGTCTTCGTGGTCCTCAAATAGAACACCGAGAATTGCAACAGAATAGAGAGAATGTGCGTTTGCCGGAGAAGGGAAAAACAACGTGCAACAAAAACAACTCCAAAACATAACAGAAGAAAGCCCGAAGCACAAAGTCGCAGCGGCCGCCGCCAGATGGCGCCTCTCGGGCACAAGCCGGACGGCAGATCGTCACCGATTTGGGCGCTGGCCTACCTTCAAATGCGACACCTTTCAGCAGTGCTTAGGACGCCCGAAACTGGTGCCGATTACTTCCTCTGTACTGAAAAGAGGTATTCTCGGCAAGAGAGAGGCAACGCCAAAAGAGAGAGAGAGAGAGAGATTACAAGTGCCAAACGCTTACGCATTGTGTGCTGTTCTGTCGCCGCTGCCGCCGCTGTTTTGGTCTTGTGCTGATTCGGTGGAACAATCTCTGCGGCAGAGTTGAGCCCCTCTCTCTGTTCTCCCTGTTTTCCCTTTGCATTCTTATCAGCAACACTACCAACAACAGCACCAGCAGCAGCAGCAGCACAACCTTCACCTCCCAAGCCGACGACAGCTGCTGTACAGCAGCAGTAAATAGAACTGAGAGAGAGAGGAGAGGAGAGGAGATTGCTTCCGCTTCAAAGAGAAAAGCATAGGCGACGCCTAGATTCTGAGCACCGATCCGAAGACATCGACACCGTACCACACAACAATACCTCAGCATCGACGATATCAGCACCACCACCGCCATCATCACCACAACCATCATCATCAACTTTAGATCATTTCTCGGCAATCAATCGATCAGTGTTGACCCACCCTTCCAAGCGCAAGAGAAGAAAAAATGGTATGCACCAGTGATCACAATACAGCTGTTCTATTCTATTCTTCTTATGCTTTACATTTCACACTTTTTAAACTCAACAACAACATCGACGACAACAAAAGACCGAGCAGCAGTTGGACCATGCCTTGGACTTGATGCGGCGCCTGCCACCGCAGCAGATTGAGAAGAACCTCAGTCACCTGCTCGATCTGGTAAGTTTAGGGTGCTAAAACTTCTTCGAAGTCATCTCTTCAACTTTCTTTACCTTCACTTTGATGACCAGGTGCCCTCCCTCTGCGAAGACCTGCTCTCCTCGGTGGATCAGCCGCTGAAGGTGGCCCGAGACCGGCAGACGGGCAAGGACTACCTGCTCTGTGATTACAATCGCGACGGTGATTCGTACAGGTATGTTTGTTTACACATTTGTTTTGTTTTTTCCTCTTAATAATTACACTCTTTGTCAGATCTCCCTGGAGCAATCAGTACGACCCGCCGATGGAGGACGCCAATCTGCCCTCGGAGAAGCTGCGCCAGCTGGAGGTGGACGCGAACCACGCCTTCGACATGTACCGGGAGATGTACTTCGAGGGGGGCGTCTCCTCCGTCTACTTCTGGGACCTCGATCACGGCTTCGCCGGCGTCATACTGATCAAGAAGGCCGGCGACGGGTCGAAGAAGATCAAGGGCTGCTGGGACTCGATTCACGTCGTCGAGGTGCAGGTCAGTTCAGGAACTTTATCCGTAACCTTTCGTTTCTAAAACTTTCATCCATTTCTTTGTTTAGGAAAAGTCGAGCGGCCGAAATGCCCACTACAAGCTGACGACCACTGTGATGCTGTGGCTGCAGACGAACAAGCAGAGCTCCGGGACGATGAACCTCGGCGGCAGTCTGACGCGGCAGATTGAGGCGGACAACGTCGTCACCGACTCTGCTTCGCACATCGTCAACATTGGCCGCATGGTTGAGGTACTGTTTTGGTTATTAAAGATCTTGACCATATCTAATATATTTACCATTCTAAACAAAAACACAGGACATGGAGAACAAGATCCGCAACACCCTCAATGAGATCTACTTCGGCAAGACGAACAACATCCTCAGCAGCCTGCGCTCGGTGAACTCGCTCAATGAGATGAAGGTCCAGGAGGCGGTAAAGAATGAGCTTGCGCAGGCGTTGCAGAAGCGACAGAAGGAGTAGTGGGCAAACACCGAAAGATATCCCTCCCATCCCATCCATCCGTTTCATCACCACCTCACTCTCCAACAAACGTCGCCAGTCAGGAAGATGGGAGAACAAACCAACACCACCACACACATCAGCGACACCACCTCCTCCTCCTTCTTAAACTTAAACTTATTATTTTTATTATGAATTCTTTCTCTCTTTTATATCACTCCACCACCCTAAGCAGTGGAATATTAAATAGTCCAATCAAAAAGACACATTTACGGGCATATCATTTTTTAATGGTGATAACAAGAGATAAAGGGGGATAAAAGGGGTGGAAAATATGGAGTTGAGAAGACGGCAAGGTATTTAACACTCTTTGGATGGAATTTTTGCTTTACAAACACCGGTTGACAGCAGTGTGTGTTTGGAGTCCACTACACATCTGAAATGATTGAATGATGAACTCCTTGTGAGAGTGAAAAGTATAGACGCCGACATTCAATCCATCACTCAATCCACTTCCATCGGGACTGGCTGGTCATTCTCTCTGACCAAACCTTCGGCCGTTTCATGACTTTGTGATGGCCAAATGTTTGTTGCAAAGATCGTGATGCGGCTATTTGGGTCAGTGGGCACTACTTGGGCAGTCATCTCCAGAAAAGCCGCGTTAGGCCCGATCACTACCTCCATGGCCCCAAATA